TGTGTATCAGAGTGTGGGGAGGGGAACATTATTTTCTGTCAAGAGCCATTTAGATATTTATTTATTTATTAAAGATTTATTTTTATTTTTATTTTTATTGGAAAGGCGGATATACAGAGAGGAGAGACAGAGAGGAAGATCTTCCGTCTGATGATTCACTCCCCAAGTGAGCGCAACGGCCAATGCTATGCTGATCTGAAGCCAGGAGCCTCTTCCGGGTCTCCCACGCGGGTGCAGGGTCCCAAAGCTCTGGGCCGTCCTCTACTGCTTTCCCAGGCCACAGGCAGGGAGTTGGAAGGGAAGCGGGGCTGCCGGGATTAGAACCGGCGGCCATATGGGATCCTGGGCGTGCAAGGTGAGGACTTTAACCACTGCGCCATCGCGCCGGCCCCATTTAGATATTTATAATGTCATTTGCTGGCCATACAAAATCATCAGTTTACAAAATAGCCTGCCATAGCTTTACTGAAGCTTGAGTCTCGCCTCCAGTTGCCTCAGAGGACTGGATCTTACACAGTGTTCCGGCCAGATGTTCTCACCCCTGAAGCATCTTCGTATTGATTGGTTGTTTACCTTTGTGATTGAGTGGCTGGATGGGAGCTGCTACTCCCTGCCATTGCTCAACATTTGAGAAAATATACCGTGTTTAGTTAGTTTGGGAAAAGGTCAAACCTCAAAGTAGGATTTCTACTGAATGTGTCTCACTTCACACTGTTGTAAAGTGGAGAAAATTGTTAAGCCATTGCAAATTAGGGGCTGTGCAGATGAAGTTTATTGTGACTGCTTCTGGCATGAAAGTCTTTGAAAGGAAAATTTGTAGCTATCCACAGGTAACATTTTGGGGGTTGTTGCTGTCTGCTACATACTGAACCCTTTGGTTTTCTTTTTTCTTTTTTCTTTTCTTTTTTTTTTTAAGATTTATTTATTTTTGCTTGAGAGAGTTAGAGAAAGAAAGACTGAGAGATCTTCCATGTGCTGGTTCACTCCCTAAATGGTGCCACAGGCTGAGCTGGGCTGGTGTAAAGCCAGGAATCTGGAACTTCTGGGTCTTCCATCTGGGTGTAGGAGCCCAAGGCCCTGGACCTCCTGCTGCTTTCCCAGGCCATTGGCAGGGAGCTGGGTCAGAAGTGAAGCATCTGGGACTCAAATCTGCGCACATAGAGGATGCCAGTGCTGCAGGCTGAGGATTAATTTGCCCCTGCCTAGGCCCATGAGCCCCATGTTTCACTTACATAATTAATCCTCAGCTCCAAGGAATAGGGATAATTCTCTCCATGGAGGAATTCAAGGCACAGAGATGGTTAGGAGCTCTTGTCAACAGTAGAACTGGGATTAGATTCAAGGACTTTCTGGCTGCAAAGCCCATGCCCTATTCACTGTAGTATTTGCTCTGCAAAATATTAGGATAGGATTCATTGCTTTGTTTGATTTTTTAAAAACTTTAAGATTTATTCATTCTTTTTTTTTTGAAATGGCTAATATACAGAGAGAAAGACAGAGAGATCATCTGTCTGGTGATTCACTCCCCAAGTGACCACAGCAGCCAAAGCTGAGCCGATCCAAAGGCAGGAACTTCTTCCAGGTCTCCCACATGGGTGCATCCCAAGGCTTTGGCCATCCTCTGTGGCTTTTCCAGGCCACAAGCAGGGAGCTGGATAGGAAGTGGAGAAGCCAGGACTTCCTGGTGCTTATAGGGGATTCTGGCATATGCGAGGTGAGGATTTAGCCATTGAGCCATCACACTGGGCCCTTGTGCTTTGTTTTAAATCAAGTGTGGAACTGATTTTCAAAGATAGGTAGTACCAGGTATTTGGTGCTAATTTTTCTTACGTTCTAGTTGAGTAACAGCCAGATTTCTGGCAGGAGCAATTAATGCTACATTTGTCAATTAGCTGGGAATGTTGCATCCCAGAGGTAGCTGCAGGCAATAGCATCTTTCCGTAGTCACAAATCCCAGAAGCATAGTGTACAATTTGTGTTAACACAGTGGAGGGTGGCATTTTCCAGAGCTTTAGTTCTATACCGTGGAAGACCTCAACCCTCAATCATGCCTCAGAGTCACATTAAAGTAAAGTGCATTCTAATTGGTAATCAGCGCATAAGGAACCAAAGAAAATTTTAATTAAATGCTGTCGTGTAAATTTTCCAGTCATTTTATGCCTGTTGAAATGGTTTTCTTATTTAGTTTAAAATCCTCTAGTGTTCTGCTCTCTCTTTAAACTTTATCAAGATTTTGTGCTTTTTCTCATATAAGGGTTTAATTAGCATCATTAAAGGGTTAGGCTGCTTTGCATTTGTTTAGCAGCAGCATTTTGATATAATGAAAAGAGCTTGGGGTTTGGAGTCCTAGAGCCAGGGCAATGTCCCTAAAAATCTCTGTTTTGATTTCTTCAGTCTGTAAAATGAATCTAGTATTTCCTTCCATGGCCATTAGGAGGAGGGTTCAAGATAATATATTTAGCCTACTTATTCCACTTGATCATCGGTGTGGATTATTTTCTGAAGTTGTGACGGAGTTTCTTACCTGGATCTGCTTTTTGTCCTGTTCTTTTTAGTGGATATCCTCAAGGATTGTCTTCAGTCATGGCCTTGGGGTTGAAGTACTCCCGCCTGGTGCACCCAGCCTTTCGCAGTTACCTTGCGGCTTTGATCAAACCTGTTTCGGAAGTGACACTGAAGACAGTGAGTGGAAGGCAACTTGACCATAGGCACGCCCTGACCTCCCCATCCGTTCCAGTCCGCCAGTTTGCTACCAAGAAAGCCAAAGGTAGAGACCTCTGAGTCCATTCTTCTCGCACCCGTTTCCTGTGGTTGGCCCCTGCACTCGCACAGCTGGCAGGGATCTCAGAGGTGTACTGAGTTTCTTCCCTTGCCCACAAGGGAGTGGAAATGGGGTCTCCATTTGTTTGATTAACTTAAAAAGTCGCAGTGGCAGAGGCAGCTTTGGAGTCCAGGCCCTGTCTTCTCATGACCATACTTACTCATTTATTTTCATGATACCTCAGAAAATACCTGCTTGCTTTCTTTTCTAATTTGGGATTAGAGGTATAAGTGCCAAGCAAACCAGCATGATTGGTGGAAGGGATCAACACGCTCTCCTTACAGGAAGATGCGTGCGGAAAGCATAATGAAAACCAGAAGGTCGATGGAGGAAGGGGGTGTTAGGATGTGGAGGTAGGTGGATGATCTTAATGGCTTGTGTCATCCAAGAATGAGTCTGAGGTACTGCTTCCTCAGGGAAGCCTTCCTCGACCTCTGGGGCTGGGTCAGGTCCCCTGCTACATGCACTCGTGTGCCCTGCCATCTTTGCTGTGATGCACTTGGACCAGCAGTCATTAATTAGTTAATTAATTGTAAGGCTTATCATCATTGTCTGTCTTTCATGCTGGATGGGTGGACGTAAGAGTCCAAGTCTTTCCTATGGGGCCTGTGAGTATTGTAAACATTTTATTGAGTGAGTGAGAGAGGATAGTTCTGAGCTCGTGCTGCTGAGTGTTTTCCCACTGACTTCCCTGTTCTGATTTCATACGTACCTTCCCTTCTGTGTTAACAGGACAACTAACAAGTTGCTGATGGAACATTAATACTTACAAAACATGTATCCTCTTAATAGTTACAGTAGTAACTTTTGACATGTATGTTGTGTTGTATTTTTTTTTAAAGTGCCCATTCATTTACTAACTTAACTTTTACCACCTGTTGAGGGAATTATGATTCTACTGTGAAGAAATCCTTATAGTTAATTTAGAAATCCAGATTCTAGCATTTTGCAAATGGTGAAACTGAGATATTATTTATAAAACATGTGCCCCCCCGTCATACACAGTCGGCAGAGCCAGGCGCCTCGACTCCTGAGGCCTCCAGCGCCGCGGTCTTCAGGACCCCGGACACCACGGCCTGTAAACACCATCGTCTTGTCATTTTCTGCAGGTGGCTCAGTTTTGCCCTCTTTGGTGTTTTCTTCTAGTGTTGTTGGACTCTTTTATGTTAGCAGTGCTAATCTAATGTCGGGCTTCTTTTCCATATTGGTAATAAGTTGTATCAACATCACTTGTTGATTAAGTAACTCCATTCTTCCCTCCCAAATTTGCAGTTCCCCCTATTGAATGTCAGGTTCTTTATGTGGATAGCTTTGATTCGAGCTCTTGATTTTATCCAACTGCTTGTCTTTCCCTGTGTTAAATTTCTTACTTCCACAGTCACGCTCATAAATTCTTAAATCTGGAAGTGCAAACCTTTCCTACCACACTCATACTTTATATAATCTATAACCATGTTGTCAAATTTTCTCCAGAAAGATTTCATAGTTCTTTAATCCAGGTTTATTTCTGTAGCATTGTATCATTTTCTTCACCTTTGCATATATTAAAAATTTTTGAGTTGTAAATATGAGAAATGTATACCCTAAGGGTGTGATTCATGATGTTTTGATGGACATACAGATATTAAAATGTTTATTTGCAGTCAAAAAAATACTCTTACTTACAGTCAAATACCCAGATACTTAACTCTTTGTGGTGGGAGAAACTTAAATATCTGGATTTCTAAAAATCAGGCGTGTCATTGTGGTACCGTGGGTTAAGCTGCCTGTTAGGATGCCAGCATCCCAGATCCAAGTGCTGGTCTGAACCTGTTCTTGTCCAGCTCACTGCTTACATGTCTGGGAAAGCAGCAACTGATGGCCCCTTCACATGTGGAGAGATCTGGGTGGAGTTCCTGGCTCCTGGCCTGCCATTGTGCCATTTGAGGGAGAAACCTACTGGATACAACATAAATACTTCTGCCTTTCAAATAAATAAGTAAATAAATCTTAAAAAAAAAATCTTACTGAGAATGCCTAACTTTTAGCTGGTTGTTTTGGTCTTTTTATAGTTATTGTTTTCACTGAGTATCTGCACTTTTATTATTTTGTGCTCTGTCATTTTCTTGATTATTTTTTTCTTCCTTTCCATTAGGCTAGACAAATTGTTTTTCTTGATCTCTGCTGATTTGAAAAATACAAATTCTATTTCTTATTTTGATGGTTCCTTTTAATTTTTCTTTTTACCTTTCTACAGGAATGAAAATAATAGGTAATTCAGCCTTTATAGAAATACAGCTTGCTAATTTTCACAAACTAAAGTCACTTACGTTCCAACACCAACACCTAGCTCCTAGCATGCTAATGCCCTAGTAAGTGTCACCCTCTACTCTACCTCTGCTGGTATGGATTAGCTTTGTTGTTACACCGTTCTGGGTGTGTTCTCTCACCTGGCTTTTGTACTGCATAGTCTATTTTTTCATGTCTGTCTTCTTTGCTCAACATTGTGTTTGTGAGGTTCATTTAAATTTAGCAGTGTGTTTGTAATTTGTAGATCATTGTCTCATGGCTAGACTATTTCATTCATATATGTCATCTATTTTGTGAATGAAGCTTATCCTAATATTGATAGGCATGTCTAAATTTTTCACACGGACACTTGGTTTAAGAAGTCTGCAGCTGAAGACAATTGTTTCCATTGTTTCTTGGCTGTTGCTGTTCTTGGAAAGCATTCTACAGTTGGATTCCTCATGGTCAGTTTGTGTTTGCTGTTTTCAAAATCTCTCCATGATTTTCATTCACAAGATGTCCAGGTATGGATTAACTTTTAAAAGAATGATTGGCCCGGCATGGTAGCCCAGCAGCTAAAGTCCTCACCTTGCACGCGAGGAGAGGAGAGGAGAGGAGAGGAGAGGAGAGGAGAGGAGAGGAGAGGAGAGAGAGGGGACGGAGATATTCTGCCTGCTGGTTCTTTCCCCAGATGGCTGCAATGACTGGTGCTGGGCCGGTTTGAATGCCATTAGCCAGGAGCTTCCTCCAAGGCTCCCACGTGAGTGCAAGGACTCTGGCCACAGTTCCCTGCCCTCTCAGGCCATTAGCAAGGAACTGACTTGGAAATAGGGCCGCTGGGACCTGAACTGGTGCGTACCAGTATGAGATGCTGGTGCCTCAGGCAGGAGCTCAGCCTGCTATGCTATGGTGCTGGCCCCATAATTAACTTTTAAATCCTGTCTGGAACTTGTATTTCTGAATCTGAAGATACGTATCTTTCATTGGTTCTGAAAAATTCTAATTCATCAACATACTGAGTTAGGAGCAATTGGATTTCAAGTGTGAGATGCTATAAGCAAGTGAATCGGTGTTTTGAATCATTCTACTTACTCATTGGTTAGTTTGGGCAAAGCATTTAAACCGCTTGTGCCTCAGATTTCTTACTGTAGCATGATGACAATAGTGATCAGTATTCTTTTTACCTTAGGGAACTATCTAGAATATCAGAGGGATTACTTGAAAGTGCTTCTTGAATCATAATGTGCTGCATAAATAGCACAGGAGCAAGCTCACTGCAGATGTTAAATATAATTTGTTGAATGACCAAATAAGTATTGAATGTTTAGTAAGTTAACAGTGTAATTATTTTTCTCCTGCTTTGCCCCCCGTAATGAACATAGGAATCCAGTAGTAATCTGTGTATAAATACACTATAAAATGTGGTGTAGACACACAAAGTCTGATTTTATTCAGCTCCCGGTATTTCTGATTTTCTAAAATATAAGCCATTGCCACTAGCTTTAGCAGTGCTTAATCTCTCTAAGCTACTCTTGTTACTCCTTTGTACCTTAAAACTGTGCATATCCTTACTATCCATTTTTTTTTTAATTTGTTTATTTGGAAGGCATAGAGACAGAGGCAGGAATAGGAAAAGAGAGACAGATATCCCATCTGCTGGTTTACTCTCTCTGCGTGTCTGCAACAGCTGGGGCTTCCTTCGGTTTGAAGCCAGAGGCCAAAAGCAGAGTCCAGGCCTCCCAGCTGCTGGAGCTGTTGCCCACTGCCTGCTGGGATGCATTAGTAGGAAGCTGGAATCAAAAGCAGAGCCAGGTCTTGAACCCTGGCTGTCTGATATGGGATTTAGATATCTCAAGTGATAATGCCTTAACCACAAGGCCAAATGCTCATCCAAGCTTTTTTTTTTTTTTTTTAAGATTTATTTATTTTTATTGGAAAGGTAGACCAGCTTTACAGAGAGAAAGATGCTACATCTCCTGGTTCAACCCCCAGATGGCTTCAATGGCTAGAGCTGAGCTGATCAGAAGCCAGGAGCTACTTCTGGGTCTCCCATGTGGGTACAGGGTCCCACGGCTTTGGGCAGCCCTACTGCTTTCCTCAACCACAAGCAGGGAACTGGATGGGAAGCGGAGCTGCCAGGACACGAACTGGCACCCATATGGGATCCTGGCACTTGCAAAGTGATGATTGAGCCATTGTGTCAGGCCCTCATCCCAGAATTTGTAAATGAGTTAATATATTTTTCATTTCCTTTAATTAGATTTTATGGAGATAGTCTAAAGGAAAGTCTTGGATTTAAAATTAGGTGGTTGTGGAGCTAGATCTCAGTGTTACTATTTCCTGACCTGTTACTTGGACAAGTTACTTTGCTTTTAGCTTCTGTGTATTTTTCTGAAAAACAAAAAAAACAAAAACAAAAAAAACAGTAATTCACTTTTGGGTTTCCCATTATGTGGCTAGTGTTCTTCTAGCTATATGATGACTTAGTTTATATTCTCCATTATATATATATTTAATGTCCTCCTTTCTCATCTTTTAAAAATAGTTATTTAGAAAAGAAGAGTACCTTGCCCACAGCCCATGAACTAGTATGCATTGTAGCCAACATTTTAGTCTGGAGTATCTGATTATGAAGCTTAAGTCCCACTAGTGATGCAGTGCATTCACTCAGTGCTGGTACCTACCACACTCAAAAAGAGGGGCTTTGTTGCCCAGCACAGAGTAGTTACTCCTTTACCAGCTGCTTGTAGTTTTTTTCTTCTGTTCTTTTTTTCACTGCATGTTGATTTTCCAGCCAAAGGGAAAGGACAATCCCAAACCAGAATCAATATTAACACCGCCTTGGTTGAGGATATAATCAACTTGGAAGAGGTGGATGAAGAAATGAAATCTGTGATGGAAGCACTCAAAGACAATTTCAATAAAACTCTCAATATAAGGACCTCACCAGGTGAGTGACGCTATGGTGTTTTGGAGAGGGGCGTAATGGAAAGAACCTGACTTCGGCAGAGCTGAGTTTTGTTTTTTAATAATAATAAAGACATTGTTTGGGAGCCCGGCATGGTGGTCTAGCAGCTAAAGTCCTCGCTTTGCACATGCCAGAATCCCATACGGGCGCCGGTTCTAATCCTGGCAGCACCACTTCCCATCCAGCTCCCTGCTTGTGGCCTGGGAAAGCAGTAGAGGACGGCCCAAAGCCTTGGGACCCTGCACCGAATGGGAGACCTGGAGGAAGTTCCTGGCTCCTGGCTTCGGATTGGCTCAGCTGTGGCAGCCACTGTGGCCACTTTGGGAGTGTGTCATGGGATAGAAGATCTTCCTCTCTGTCGCTCCTTCTCTCTATATATATCTGACTTTGCAATAATAAATAAATATGTCTTAAAAACAAAAACAAAAACAAAAACAAAAACATTATTTGGAAGTCAGAGAAAGCCAGATCTTCCATCTGCTGCCGGCTCACTCCCCAAACGCCCTCATTGGCCTAGCTGGACCAGGCCAAAGGCAGAATCCTGGATCTCAGCCTGGGTCTCCCATGGGGGGTGGCAGGAAAACAACTCCTAGAGCCGTCACCTGCTGCCTCTAAGGATATGGATGAGTAGGTGGCTGGGATTGGAAGCAGAGCCAGTATTCAGACCAGATGCTTGGATGTGAGATAAGTGCTCCCAAGCCATAGCTTAACTGCTGTGCCAATTGTCAGCTCTAGAGCTGAGTTGGATTCCCAGTTTTGCAAACTGAGTGGTGAATGTGAGTGGTTGCTTTACTTTTCTGGTTCCTGGTGTTCTTGTCTGACTCCTATTGTATAGTTTTGGGGAGGAGCAGGAATTAAAGTAATGTTATGTAAGGGTTCTGACATGGTTCTTGACATACAGTTAGCAGTGCACTTATTGATCAAGTATTTGCTGTGAGCTAGGCCACATACCTGATGCACAGTAGGGAACAAAAACAGTTATGGTATCTGCGCTCATGCAGTTAAACTCAAGAAATAGAAGGTTTGTTCTAACCACTGAAGCACTAGCATCTTGGATCTGAGTTTTCCAATTCATCTTTTTCCTGGGAACCACCTAGCTGCCAACCTGCCCACCTGCCCACCTGAGTCATTTCTGTAACCCTGAGCTTGGCCAGGAAGATGCTGTTTGGGTTAATAACTTCCTGAAAGTAGCTGTTCTAAGTGGGAAATGTCAGGACTGTCTAGGAGAACTGTTTGCAGATGTGATGAGAAGCAAGTTGTCAGCTAATGGTGCAAGCAGGCAGGAAAAATCCAATTGCTGTTAAATTGGCCTTTTGCAAATTGTCATCATCCTATGGTTGAGCCTAGGACCCCCACTGAAGGTATCTGCATACTAGTATGTATCTGCTGCTCATAGTTCATAAGGAAATCAGAAGGTATTTCATGACCTTGTGCTTAAGAAAGCCCACCGAAAAATACACAGCTCCATTTATAAGCACTATCAGAAACATATTGAGCTCAGAGGTAAGGTGCAGTATGAACCCAGGAGCCCATTCCCGTCATTTGTCAACCTCTGGACTGGAGCGTTTCTGCCTTTGCTGAGAGCAGAGTGCCATTCAATCTCTCCCAACTGTTTACCTTAAACTTGCTTATTATTTTAGGTATGAAGCTGATAAAGTGCTCTGTCTAGCCCGTGCTTTCTGGCCTGTTAACATTCTGCAGCCGAAACCAGAGAGCAGTTTGAGAGGAGCTCAGGGGGAAATGTGATACTTACAATTAGCCAGCAAGCTCCACTCTTGCTGAACTTGAAAAAGATGATGGGCCTGGAAAGAGGTTGGAAGTGTAATTTGTTAAATGTTAACCTCAGAAAACGAAGGGCAGGAACAAGATTGCGGGGGATTCTCACTGGGGACAGATTGAGGAAAAAGGATTTGATGCATTATGTCGATTTAGGAGTTAGGGAGCAGGAGCCACCGCAGCAGCACCCTGGGGAACCGGTGCTGGGCTCCTGTGGGAAGCCAGGAGGGCTGAATCAAGATCCACTTTCAAAAGGCCTCCTGCGGGTATTTCCTCTACTTCTTTCTCTTGAGTGCTATGCTTAACGTTCTGTGTGGGACTTGGGATTGTGAAGACTGGGGAAACAGGTCTTTGCTGGCCAGTCTTCTTTTTTTTTTTTTTGCCAGGTTCTTCCATCTTGTCTTTGATTCCTATGTGAACCAGCAGGCATTCTCTCTTACTTCCCTCTCTCTGTCAGCAGTCTCTATCTCCAAGGTGGATGACACCTTTGTAACAGTTAGGACATGTTTATTTGTTCATTCTTGTCTACTTTCCCTTTCATCCAACCCTGCGTATGTTCATTTATCCATCACAGTGTTACTGAGCATTTAACCTGTGATGGTTGCTGTACTAGCTACTATGGATACAGAGAGGATAGATTTGGTTCTCAGCTTCCACAAGCCTAGAACCTAAGTGAAGGGACAGACAAGTAAGCTAACACACATAGTTAAAAACATGTGGCAAAGCAGAGGATTGAAGACCTCCACTCTTGAATTGGTCAGACACAGATTTAAATTCAGTCTCTCTTATTAAAAACCATTGTGAGACGGGCAAGTTATTCTCTATACCTCAGTTTCCTCACCTATAAAATGGCAGAAGTCGCGAATAACTGTGTCATATGATTATTGTGATCATGAAAGCAAATAAATTGCAGAAAACAGCACGATACCTTTCTCTTAGGAAGTAAATTTAAGGTGTGATTGTCACGAGAAGTGTACGTAGGATGTGTGGAAGTTCTTCAGGTTTATGAGATCAGACGACAGTTTCTGAGATTAGATGTTGCTATAGCTGAGTATTGATTAGTGATCAGAAGTTTTCTCATTTGAGGACAAGATGTTTTCAAGGATCCTGAGGCAAGAGAGAACAGCGTGTACTAGAGAAATTGTAGATAGATTTGACTAGAGGCAAATATCAAGATATTTATTGGAATACATTCAAATGAGGTAGCTTCAGAAAGTCCATGGAAAATAGAATTTGTATGGGCATGAATAAACATTAAATTTGTAGAGTTTTCATAATGCACTTTTCCATGAACTTTTTAAAGACCCCCTCACAAGTGCTTTTCATTTGCTTCTCATATGTTAAATGTTATGTATGTTCAATATGCTTTTATGCCCCACTTGTAGATCAATACACAGCAGCCCAGGAGGGAGAAGGGATCTGCCCAGGTTCACAGTCAGGAAGTGGCAGAGTTTGTATTTGAACTTGTGTCACTGATCTTCACAAGTGGATTTATAGTCCTGGTCAATGGTGTCAGCTTCCTTCTGTCTTATCATGACAGTGAACTGGTTGAGTACTACAAGTAGGTCTTTGGCCAGAGTATGGCACTGTACTATTTGAACACTTGTAGCTAGGACAGCTACAATTTGTTTTAAAAACTCCTCCCCTTGGGCCTGGTGCAATAACCTAGTGGCTAAATCCTCATCTTGCGTGTGCTGGGATCCCAGGTGAGTGCCGGTTCATGTCCCAGCTACTCCACTTCCCATCCAGCTCCCTCTTTGTGGCCTGGGAAAGGAGTAGAGGATGGCCCAAAGCCTTGGGAGCCTGCACCCATATGGGAGACCTAGAAGATGCTCCTGGCTCCTAGCTTCAGATTGGCTCAGCTTCTGGCCATCTTGGCCACTTAAGGGAGTGAACCAGCAGACAGATTTTTCGCTCTGTATCTCCTTTTCTCTATAAACCTGACTTTCCAATAGAAAAACAAAACAAAACAAAAAACTCCTCCCCTCCACTCCTTTCCCTTTTTGTCTCAGAAGGAACCATTGATGAGTGCTTCCGCTGTGAATGGTGAGGATTTTCTTCTAGTTTTATTTGCATAGGAAATCAGAAAATTTGAATAACGCCTCTCTTCTATCTGTACTGCTCGCCTTCTTGGATTTCTGAAATTTTTGCCAATTTTCCATTATTGAAATATGGATAAAGAACAAGTCGAAGATTAACAGTGAAGTTATTTTTTCATTTACCTTAAAGGGAGAGCATCAAAGAGAGAGAGAGAAATCTCCTCCTTCTGCTGGTTCAGCCCCCAGATGTCTGCAACAAACCATGCTGGTCCCTGGGGTGAAGTCAGGAGCCGGCAACTCCGCAGGAGTCCCATGTGGTGGCAGGGGCTCACACACTTAGCCCTTGTCTGCAGCCTCTCAGGATGCGTGAGCAGGAGCTGGAGTCAGAGGGGGGCAGCCAGAACTCCAACCAGACTGTGCCATAATGCCCACCTGGAATTTTTCTTTTTCTTTCTTTCTTTTTTCCAATGAGCTCATTGCTGAAGAGGCTCTAAACAAAATTAAGAGCAGTGCAAGGGAGTGGTTGCAGACTTGACTGTGTGGCCGAATCCTCTGATGGGGTCATGTCTCGTCCCGCCCCCCAGTTCCCAGGCTCCACAGGGTTTCCAGGAGCAGGGTCTCAGGGGTGGAGCCTAGCAGCCCCTTGCCAATTCTGATGCCCTGCAGAATGTGTGTTCCACTTAGAGGAACAAAGACGCTTGAGTGAGATCAAAACAGGGCACACCTGAATTTGGGTTAAGGTTCTTTTTTGTTTTTTAAAGATTTATTTATTTTACTTGAGTTAGAGAGAAAGGAGAGACAGAGATTGAGAGAAAAATCTTTCATCCCCTAGTTCACTCCCCAGATGGCCTCAATAGGCAAAGCTGGGCCAGTTGGAAGCTTGAAGCCAGGATTGTCTTCCAGGTCTCCCAAGTGGGTGCAGGGGCCCAAGAAGCTGGGCTGTCCTCCATTGCCTTCCCAAGCCATAAGCAGGGGGCTGGGTTGGAAGTGAAGCAGCTGGGACTCAAACTTGTACCCACATGAGATGGTGGCACCACAGAGAATTAGCCTGTCACACAACCCAGGTCTCAGCTCTTGATTGTCTCATCTTGTTAGCTCTATGATCTTTGTTCATCCTCTCATCTGGAAAGTAGAGTAAAATGATGTTGGAGTAATAATAACAATTACAAGGGATAATATGCTTATTATTTTTGATATCTCTTGTGTATTCGATTGTTTATATTTAGCTAAAATCCTCACTTTCATCCTGTGAGATGGATATCTTGTAACTGAGTTTAAAACCAAAATACAGAGAAAATAATTGAAGTGGTCCCAGGTCTCACAGCTAGCAGATGGCAGAGTTGTCTCGGGGTGGGGGTGGGGGGAGTCAACTCTTCAACTTTCAGTCCTGGATCACAGGAGACCTCTCAGGTCCAGGCAGATGAAGATGGGTGGCAACCCTGGTTTTTGGTAGGTAATTCCAACATGGTTCTGACAGTTTCTGCCATTTTCCATCACATGACGGCATTACTCCAGGGAAAACACTTTGAACAGTTTTGTCACATTGATGAGGATATCTCTTGGTCTGAGTTAGATGGAGGATTACCTGTGGGGCTACTAAGGCCCTACAGTTTATATTGTAACTCTAGCACCGCATTTTATTTATTTATTTACTTATTTACTTATTTATTTATTTTTAGGATCCCTTGATCAGATTACTGTGGTGACTGCTGATGGGAAGCTTGCCTTAAACCAAATCAGCCAGATCTCCATGAAGTCACCACAGCTGATTTTGGTGAATATGGCCAGCTTCCCAGAGGTAAGGGGCCTTTGCTGAAGGGCTCACCGCCCACAGTCTCCTTTGGAAGGGGGCGGGCAGGTGGGTTGGACCAGGAGGGGTGAAATGAAGGAGAAGATAAAATAGAAGGAGCCTAAGGACAAGGAAAGCTCTCTCGCTGTTTCTAACTACCATTTCTGTCCACCCACATGCTAGAAACCAGGCAAGAAATTTGAATAGTGCAACAAAGCCCCCACTACAAAAAAGCAATGAGACAAAGATGGAGATGCAGTGATCGGCACCTGGCCAATGTTTATGAGGGCTGGGAGCTCTGGGAAATTGGAAGCCTCTGCCCTGTCTGTGGGAGGTGCCTCTGCATAGGCAGAAAGTGGCTCTGGGCGTGTTAGCGAATGTTGAAGATTTTTATTTCCAGAAAAAAAGCTAGTAATTCCAATGATCATGTGAGCTCCTTGTCTGTCAAATGGTGGCTAGTTTCCTTTTTCCCTCAAGACTGTGGGGCGAGATGTCTGTCTGGGTCAGGTGTGGCCTGAGGGCCACTAGCCTGTGCTTTGAGCGTTAGTATTTGGAGCCGATCCTCCAGGAACTTGTATTGCTTTCTGTCTGTGGAAGGCGGGTCGCAACCTCGAGGCCTCACTATTTTAAGTATAGTGGAGGAAGATGAGGTATAGGCTTTTCCTTCTTGGTCCACCAGGAGTTGGTCTGGATCGGAAGGCCCAGAGGATCCAGAACGTGGCCCTGGCTCCGCCACCACTGGGCTGTTTGACCTTGGACAAAGTAGTTCCCCTCTCGGGGCTTCCATGTCCCTCATCTGAGAACATGAAGTGAAGGAGCCTCCCGATTTTGATTGTTTTCGGTAGTTCTGTCCAAAAACATCAGACCCAGTTTGGAGTCGACGAACTAGATCAGAGAAAAGAGCAAACCCTGATTAAGCACAACCCTTCACACAAACACAGGCGGTTGCACTTCCTGTGCCAGACACACTTGTGGGTTGCTGTCGCCACTTCCATTCCCTTCTCCACTCCTGCCAGTGTGGGCTCGCTTAAAAATACATGTGGAGTCACGTCATCCTCCCACTCTAAATCTGCTAGTGGCTTCACATAATCTCTAGGAAAAGGTGTGAAGCCCTTGCCGAGCCTGCAAGGCCCTGCCTGAGCTGGCCTCTGTGGTCCTGCACGATGTTCTAACCTGTTGTGCCTCCGGGGCCTCTGCCACCCTGTTGCTGGGATGCTCTCCTTTGGCTAACTGCTGCTCGGGTCTTGGATCATAGCTTAACTGTCATGTTGTCAGGGAAGTCTTCCCTCACTTACCCAATTTAAACTCTTCCCCCATATTCAGCCCTCTCATGTAGCACATAATTTTTTTCTTCATCACTATCAGCAGTTAAACATTTATGTAGACTTATTTTCCATCTCACTTCCATGGACTCATAAGTTGGAGTGTAGGCATTGGCTAACTTGTTCACTGTGTCCGGCATCAAGCACAGTGCCTGGCACATGGACTCGGTCATTCCCTCCAAGGGATGACGACTTGTCATTTGGTTGATGAAACAGGAGCAGAGAAGTGAGCCAAAGGCCACTGTGGACACTTTCCCTCTGGCCCATGAGGAAACTGTTGACTCTCCCTTTCTCAACCTCACTTTCTCGTTCTTGTAATTTCCTAGGCACTGCGGGCCAATTTAGGGAATGGCCTCCTAATTACACAGCTTAAGGACCTCATCAGGCAGATTGCTTTTCAGAGCCCGCCACTTCTGTTATTAAATAGCAAATGACATTCACAGAAGAAGCTCCTGATTGGCTGCCAGAGCATCTCAGGAGGCAGGAGGAGGTAGTCATGGCTTAATTTTTTCTTAGGAAGTTGGAATATATCTTCTTCTTCTTCTTCTTTTTTTTTTTTTAGCCAAAGCATCTCTGTCATTTCTCCAAGTTGAAATTCAATAAATTTTGGACAAAAAAAAAGGGTTCCCCTCAATCCGGCATTTCAGGGAGGTTCATTTACATGGGCAGATTGAGGAAGTGTGGGTTACTTTCTTTTGAATTCCTTTATCTCATCTGGTGTATATATTAAACAAATAACTCTAACCAAACATTTCCTTCCTCTAGCTTAGAAGCCGTCCATAGAGTGCCCAGGTTCAGAGCTTTAAAATGCTGAGCTAATCCTCGCTGTGTTTATATAACTCCTTTCTGTCTCATGTGCGGTTGGCTTCTTTTCCCCCCCAAACCTGTGTATTTCTGTGTCATGCTGCAGTGACACAATGCAGATTTACATGCGTAATCTTTTCAAATGCATGGAGGACAGAGAACTCTGTTGCATTTGTTTAACATGTGTCCTGCTTGATAAATGATACGCCCAGATGCTGCTTTCTATGAACTTGCCTACAGCTAGAGTGAACGATGGGAAAGAAAAGGGAATAAAAGCCACCGCGTACAGCATGATTTGAACAAAACCAGGCAAATGAAATAAATTTTTAAAAAATCAGCAGTTTCTGTATCACTCTTTTTGGAAGGAAGAGAGTTAATGTGCATCCAATACCTTCTGCGCTACCAGTCATCACTTTTTTTTTTTTTAAGATTTATTTATTTTTATTTGAAAGGCAGATTTACAGAGAAAAGAAGATACAGAGAAATGTCTCCCACCTACTGGTCTACTCCTTAAGTGACCACAACAGCCAGAGCTGAGCCAACCTGAAGCCAGGAGCCAGGAGCTTCTTCTGGGTCTCCCATGTGGGTACAGGGTCCCAAGGCTTTGGGCTGCCCTCTACTGCTTTCCTCGACCACAAGCAGGGAGCTGGATGGGAAGTGGAGCAGCCGGGATACGAACTGGCGCTCTTATGGGGTGCTGGTGTTTTCAAGGCAAAGATGTAGCCACTGAACCATTGCGCCATGCCTGCCAGTCATTTCTTAGGTTTATGTCGTATGATCATCCCAGGTGCTTGGAAAGCTAGGCATGATTTACTGCGTCTTATGCATGAGGAAGCAGGCCCGGGAAAGTAAGGCAGCTCCCCCAAGTTTTCACACTGTTGTGATAGAGCCTGGATTTGAACCTAGAGCTGTGCTCGATGTGAATGCCTGTGCTCCTTTCCCCACTCATTCATTAATTCAGTATGTATTCTTTGAGTCCCTGCAAGTGACTTCTGTTTGAGGTGCTGAGAATTTCCTTTTGGTTAGGAAAGGCTGGTTCTGTGCTTTGATAGACCTTGCATTAGGTGCTCCTTGAAGTGTAAAGACCAGGACAGTAGGTAAAAGGGTACTGATAGGGTTTATGTGAATCTAAATTCCCAAGGACTTGTTCACTGTGTCCAAAAGTTTTGTATCTGTAGTCCTTTAGAATCTATTAGCTTAAGAATAGCAATGTTAAGGGATAGTGTTAGCTATGGTAGCTTAAGCTGCCCCATGCGTCTCTGGCACTCCGTATGGGTACCAGTTCAAGTCCTGGCTGCTACACTTGTCCTCAAACTCCCTCTCATACACCTGAGAAAGCAATAGAAATGGCCTAAATGGTTGGGTTTCTGCCTTCCATGTGGAAGATCAGGATGAAGTTCCTGGCTTCTGGCTTTGGCCTGGCTCAGCCCTCGCTGTTCAAACTGTTTGAGGAGTGAACCTGCAGATGGAAGATACAGCTATCTGTCTCTAACTCCGCTTTATGTATCAAATACATAAATAAATATATCTCTTAAAAAATAAACAGCAATGGTGAAAATTGCTAATTAATCCTGGGACTCTTCCCTGCCTGCCTCCGTGTGGAGTCTAGGACCTTTCTCAGCACAGTATTCCAGGAAGCCATAACCAGTTGGCCAATGCTGCCATTGGAAGAATTCAGGCTGAGCTTACTGAGCATTCCTTCAGTAAGGGGATAAAGGCTGTGGATAAGAGATGGTAATGTTCTGAGAATGCACGCCTTGTTTTGTCTGAACCATGAAATTTTTTTATGTCATGTTGAGAGATTTAACTCTGATTCTCTGAGCTTCTGCATGTTACCATATCAAACCACAGTGTACGTATCTATAATATGTTAGAATAACTGCTTTTGGTAGCTTTATTAGCAAAATAAAACTTCAGTTGATTAAACTTTTTCTGTATATAAAAAGACATAGAAAAGTTCAAGTGTATAGTAGGGATTTTTGACATGAGGTAATAAAATGAATTTTTGAATAGATTTCAGATTGTCCCTATATCTATTCAACAAGCTTTTACTGCGCCCGTGCCTTGTACTGGGAAGGTATGAAAGATAAAATGTAGTTGCTGCCCTGCTTGCTGTAAGCACTACTTGCCGTGGTGCCTACAGGGAAAGGTAATATGGAAATACTCCAGCTAAAATGCGAAAGGGAGGTGGTCGCTGTGAAGTGTTGTCACGGTGGATGATCAGTCATTCAGTGAGATGCTACAGAAGAGGATTAGGGAAACTTGGAATCAGCAAGTTCCTTCAATGTGGAGGCTTCACCCTAGCTAGACTTTGAAGTCAATCTGGCTCATCTTTTTTTTTTTTTTTTAAATTGGAAAAACGGACATACAGAGAGGAGGAGAGACAGAGAGGAAGATCTTCCGTCCAATGGTTCACTCTCAAGCAGCTGCAGTGGCTGGAGCTGAGCCAATCCGAAGCCAGGAGCTAGGAGCCTCTTCCGGGTCTCCCATGCGGGTGCAGGGTCCCAAGGCTTTGGGCTGCCCTCGACTGCTGTCCCAGGGCACAAGCAGGGAGCTGGATGGGAAGCGGGGCTACCGGGATTAGAACCTGCACCCATATGGGAACCCAGTGTGTTCAAGGTGAGGACTTTAGCTGCTATGGTATCACACTGGGCCCAATCTGGCTCATCTTATTAAGGAGGGTGACAGTTTTCTTTTAGAGAAAGATTAATTTCACTTCTTTATCCAAGTGCTTTAGGTACCTTGACCATGCCTTTCATCACCAGACCTTGTTCCAAATTAGTTTTGGCTATTAAATAAAAACCAATTTCTTTTACACTTGCTGAATACACTGATCTTGGGGACCTCGGGGGAGGGAAATATAGAAAGAATGGAGCTAAATCGTCTCTCAGCCTTCCCTTAATTCTCCCATTACTGGGAAGTACAAAGTGTGGGGTTCTTACTGTGTCTTTGGGACCCTTTAGGAAGACTGTATCTATGCTGTCCACGACTAAGGGGCTGTGCTTGGTTGTGTTAGAGAAACCTGTGAGCTCTGGTAACTGTGGTCAGAGAACTTCCTGTCTGAGGACCAGCTTTTGGCCTGTTGTTCAAAGTGCCCTTGTCCTATGTTGCATTGCCTGAGTTCAGCTCTAGGCTTGGTTCTAGCTCCGGCTCCAGCTCCAGCTCTGGCTCCGGCTCCAGCTCTGGCTCTGGCTCCGGCTCTGGCTCCGGCTCCAGCTCTGGCTCTGGCTCCGGCTCCGGCTCCGGCTCCGGCTCCAGCTCCGGCTCCAGCTCTGGCTCTGGCTCTGGCTCCAGCTCTGGCTCCAGCTCTGGCTCTGGCTCCGGCTCTGGCTCCGGCTCCGGCTCCGGCTCCGGCTCTGGCTCTGGCTCCGGCTCTGGCTCCGGCTCCAGCTCTGGCTCCAGCTCTGGCTCCGGCTCCGGCTCCAGCTCTGGCTCCAGCTCTGGCTCTGGCTCCGGCTCTGGCTCCGGGTCCGGCTCTGGCTCCGGGTCCAGCTCTGGCTCCAGCTCTGGCTCCAGCTCCGGCTCCAGCTCCGGCTCCGGCTCCGGCTCCGGCTCTGGCTCCGGGTCCAGTTGCGTGCTAATGCAGACACTGGGAAGCAATAGAGGCGCCCAAGTCGTTGGGTTGCTGGCATCACATGGGGGACCTGGATTGAGCTCTGAGCTCCAAGCTCAGTCTTCTTGCTGTTGGGGAGTGAACCCTGAGGATTGGATCCCACTTTTTCTGACTCTCAAATAATCAATCAATAAATGAATCTTAATGAAAAAAAACTTAGTGAAGAAAATAATTCACAATTTTTTTTAAAGATTTATTTTTATTATTTTTTTATTGGAAAGGCAGATAATACAGAGAGGAGAGACAGAGAGGAAGATCTTCCGTCCGATGATTCACTCCCCAAGTGAGCGCAACGGGCCGATACTATGCCGATCCGAAGCCAGGAGCCTCTTCCAGGTCTCCCACGTGGGTGCAGGGTCCCAAGGCTTTGGGCCGTCCTCGACTGCTTTCCCAGGCCACAGGCAGGGAGCTGGAAGGGAAGCGGGGCTGCCGGGATTAGAACCGGCGCCCATATGGGATCCCGGGCGTGCAAGGCGAGGACCTTTAACCACTTGCGCCACCGCGCCGGGCCCAATAATTCACAATTTTAAGTAGTAGCCACGTTGTTAAAATCTTTGTACATCCTCTAAAGGGGATTGCTCTCTGTATGGAAATTTTGGATGATTTTTTTGACTGTATAATGTCAATTTGTATAATTGAAGAATGAAAGTCATTTAGGAATGGATAAGCCTTTCTTGGGACCTCCTCCACAAACAACAGCAGCAAGAGCAAACACCTGGTAAATTAAAACAGGTGTGTGTCCCCCCTTCATTTAAACCAGAAAAGCTAGAGAGGAACTCCAGGCCCAGAGTTGCCAGAGGAATCCAAGTGATGTGGACTGGCTCTGGTCAAATCTAACATTCTTTTGAAGATGTCAGAGGCTTTGGTTTCATGAATTCCACATTGTTGTGCCAACCCCTCTCTCTTTTCATACACACACAAAAGCACACACACAGTTCCCTCATTATCCTTTACAAAGCAGGTGTGGTTGTAGTTATAAAGTAGCTTGAGTTGGTGGTGAGGAGGTGCTTTGACAAGTCGGGGTACCAGTTGGCACCTGGCACGTCAGTGAGCAAACCTGCTGGAGAAGGACATAAAGACATCATGAAATGGACCATCAAGTCTGCTTTGATTGAGGATTTAGGGGTTCTCCCCTTCGGGTGGTAGTGCGCAGAGCATGTGTTTAGGGTGTCCTTGACTGGGTGTTCCTGTGTGAAGCACAGAGCGAAATGCATTGCTCATGTTGTCTGCGTGCTTTCAGAGGTGCAGGCATCACGGAGCCTCAGCTTGGGATGGAGGCCTGAGAAGTCAGGCTTCTTCGCCAGGGCCACGTGGTCATCGGGTGGTATTGGAATTAAGATCTTTGCGACTCTGAAGCCCATTCTTTTTAGCTGCTGTCTCCTGCTGTCTTTCCCAGAGCCCCCACTGGCAGATCCATAGCTCATTGTGAAAGCAAGTTTGGTGTGAGTGTAGATGCGAATGAGTTAAATTTATTTACTCATTCCAAAACTACACTGGTATATTTTGAGTGTAAAATGTCAACTGAACTTTTTAACGTATGAAATCTTTCATCTGTCTTTACACCGATCTTTGCACAGACCAGCCCCTTTCCCTTGGGGATTTATTGCGGTTTTGATCTGTGTTGCCTCAAACCATTGAAATCTTTTCAAAGAAGCAGAGCTGTTTTCTTTTTATTTTTTCTTCTCCTTCTTTCTTCCTCCTGCTGTACACTGGTACCAGGAGTGGACATAGTTTGCTATTCAGCTTGATCAAAGCACTCTACACCAATGTAACTTCCTGATCTTACTGGTAACAGAACTAAATGTTTCCATGTTCTGCCAGGATGGGTTGCCAGTTATCGACGGAGGGCTTGCATCTGGTAATAATTATTTACTAATTCTGTTTACCTTTTGATCTGGTTTTCAGTGTACAGCTGCAGCTATCAAGGCTATAAGAGAAAGTGGAATGAATCTGAACCCAGAAGTGGAAGGGACACTAATTCGGGTACCCATTCCGAAGTGAGTTTGTCTGAAATTCACATAGCTCAATGATGAGGTGACTGACCGGCCTTGGAAAGCAAGCAGTGCGCCCCTCTGCTGTTGGGCTGTGGGCCTCACTGCCCCTTTCATCCTGGAAGATGTGTTTTGAGATCCGCTTTACTTGTTTGGAAATATTTTTTTTTTGTGCCTGTTATTTCAGAGTTCAGTAGGTCACAGTAGCTTCTGAAATTCCTGGCTCTAGTGCACTTTACAATCCTGGTTAGAAGGAGAGGACAAGTTGGTGATTCAAGTGATTTCAGGTAATGAAATACTGTGAGGAAAGAGATGGCAGTGGGATGGGAAAGAGAATAACTTGGTGTGGGTAATGGCGATGGGCAGCTTTAGCCTGAAGGTTCTTTGAGGAGGTGGCATTGTGCACTGGGCTGGGCTGCTGCCTGTGATGGCAATGTGCCATACAAGTACCCATTCAAGTTCTGATCCAGTTCCCTGCTGGTGTTCCTGGGAGAGCCGTGGGAGACGGCCAAGTGCTTGGGCTCCTTCCACCCATGTGTGAGATCAGGGTGTTCTTGGCTTTGTCCTGGCCCAGCCTTGGTCGTTATAACCATCAGGGAGTGATCCAGCAGGTAGAAGATGTCTCTTTCCTTCTCCCACTCTGTCCCATTCTGTCCCTCTCTCCATCTCCATCTCTACAACTCTTCGTCTCAAACAAGTAAATCTTTTTTTAAAGAGGTAACATTTTATTGAGAATGAAGTGGTGAGGAGTAACTGGCGGAAGGGAATAACATTCCAGACAGAGTGAACAGCAAGTGCAAAGGTCCCAAGTCAGAAACTAGCTTAGTGTTTGTAATTTCTAACTCTCTTGTCCCTGAAGAAACATTCGTCTCTGCTAATTGACATAAAAACAGAATATTAACTGTATTAATATATAGAGCTTGAAATTCCAAATGCACAAAAGTGCTGTATTATTTTCACATGAGTAAAAGGCAAGATGATGGTGCATCTGAGAAAGAATGTGGGTTGTGTGGGAGAGAGAGAACAATAGGCGTGGGGTTGCGCTAGTTGGAAGAGGTTGTGCGAAAGGCCTTACAGTCCCTGCTGGGGAGTGGGCTTTGTTCTGGCTGCAGCAGGAAGCTGCAAGAGAGAAAAGCAGGAGTTGATCTGATCTGATGTGGGCTTTGTAAGGATCTCTCTGGCTGCAGATGAAGAAACAGAATGCGGGGCCGGTTCAATAGCGTAGTAGTAAAAGTCCTCACCTTGCACATGCCGGGATCCCATATGGGCGCTGGTTGAAAGAAAAAGCTGAGATAAACAGAGTCGTGGGCCTGGCGACACTTTACTGGGGACGATGACAGCTATGTTCAGAGTGACATGGAGCCACCACAGCTGCTTCTCAGAGACTGTGTAAGGAGGGACTTTGATGAGGACCCCGTAGTATCCCATGGCACCTGCTCATGGCTTAGGATTATCTTCCACCAACTTCCCAAGAATAACAAGAAACTGCCCACTGCCAGACAGCTCGGAAGTGGAGATGCCGGGCGCAGATTGGGGTCTCTGTTGCTGCCTTTCTTTCTGTTCTTTTCTCCTGAAAGATGATCTCCCTGGAATGTGTTTCTTTGCTTCTTAAGTAGAGATTTTGAAGAGTTTTGAGGAGCATTTTGATCAGGCCACATTTCTACCAGTCAGACATGTCCTCCCCAACTCATTGTTTTACTAAACTGTCAATGGGAAAGCCCCCCTAGGTAGAATCGGGCAGTTTTTGTTGGAAATTGTTGAGTTTGTGTCTGGCTCTAAGTGGCATTATAAGCAAATCATGAACGCATGCAGGAGACAAAGGGCCATGCGACTGACCCGTTCCCCACTGGGGCCACATCCCTTCTTTATCATCCTCATCTTAAATCAAGTTAAAATGAAAATACCTGTTCTTCATTGGCAAGTACTTTAGCCACCCTGATTGTGTAGAGTTTTTCCCTGCAAAGCCTTGTGCATGTCCGTACATTTTTCTGACATGATTTTGGATTATGTTACACGTACTGTCCTGCACGTGTCATGCCTTCTCTGATGAGAATTCTTCCTCAGGCTTTTGAAAGGCTGCTTATTGCTTGCATTTTACACACAGCACTAATGAGTTTACAAACGAGAAAAGCCTGGGTTTAAATTTGTTCACTTTTGTAAGGGTGTTATCATGACCTGAGGCCTGCCTCCCTGTTTTGCTGGCAGTGGAGATGTGAGGAGGCCTGCAATTGGGAAAGAGCCAGTGGGGGTTGGTGGGGAAGTTCCGTGTGCCTCTCGCTCTTGTTTGCCTAAAGACTCATTGGTAACAATGCTGTGCAGTGCCAAGCTTCCCAGGCATGGGTGTTTGAGCGCCAGACATCCGCCTGCTATACCCGTGTGCCCCTCCACTGGTCCTCCACTGCTCCTGCGTCACTTTTTACAGACACCCGCCTGGTATTTGAGTATCTCCCCTGGCCTCCAGTGTGGCAGTACAAGTTGTTAGATTTATTTTTTTTATTATTTTTTCATTGGAAAGGCGGATATACAGAGAGGAGAGACAGAGAGGAAGATCTTCCGTCCGATGATTCACTCCCCAAGTGAGCGCAACGGGCCGATACTATGCTGATCCGAAGCCAGGAGCCTCTTCCTGGTCTCCCACGCGGGTGCAGGGTCCCAAAGCTTTGGGCTGTCCTCGACTGCCTTCCCGGGCCACAGGCAGGGAGCTGGAAGGGAAGCGGGGCTGCCGGGATTAGAACCGGCGCCCATATGGGATCCCGGGCGTGCAAGGCGAGGACCTTTAACCACTTGCGCCACCGCGCCGGGCCCGGCAGTACAAGTTGTAAGCAGAAAGATTGTGTATTGAGCACAGACTAATTTCTAGGTCTTTTTGCTGTGCTATCTAACTTACTTCATTCTGTGAATCAATTTCTTTTTGTTTTTGAAATTTTATTTTTATTTGAAAAGAAAAGTGATTGCAGAGAGATCTTTTGTCTGCTGGGTCACTTCCCAGATAGTCACAATGGGTAGAGATGAGCTGATCCGAAGCCAGGAGCCAGGAGCTTCCTCCGGGTCTTCTCCACTGCTTTCCCAGTCTATAAGCAGTTGGGAAGCAAACCAGAACCCAAATCGGATGCAGTGCTACAGGCAGAGGCTTAGCATACTATGCCACAGTCCCAGCCTTTCATGATTTTTAATACATAAACAAAGTAAACTTGAGAAAAATTAAATAACTAGTTCAAGCATGTTTAGTTGGTAAAGATTGAATTGACTAGAATCATGACTCCAAAATCTGTTTCCTTGAAACTGTGGGTTTCTAAGTGCATGTTCCATATTTGCTTTGTATTTACTTGCTTGTTCACATGGGACAGCAACTGCTACTTTAAAATTTACCATTATATATCCTTATAGATGATGGTTCACATGATAAAATTAACCCCTGTCAAATGTGCTTGGCGAGTTTTGACAGGTACGTGACTCTGTGATTGTCACACCCATCGAGCCTGGACTAATTCAGCCCGCCTGGGAAGTTCCCTTTTGCCTCTTTACATGCCAGTCTTACTCTTCCGGTCCGGACAACCGGGTCCTAGAAACCTGCCTGCTTTTATGAGAACATGGAGTTTCTGTATTGAAATGTGAAACTCCTGGGACATCCATTAATTTATAACATGTTGATTGAGTGCAGGCATAGTTGTAGACACTGAAGATATAGTAGCGAACAAGCCGGACGAAGCCTTTGGCCTTCCGGGGAGATGATCAGTGAGCTCGTTTGTAGTGCGGGGATGGGGAGGAGGGAGAAGGGAAATGAAGGATGCTAGCCTGTGCAGGTGGGAAGGGTGATGTGGCTCCGCATTAAGGAGGATGCATGTCCCTGAAAGGCTTCGGAGGGAGGCCATGTTTGAAGCAAAGACTGAAGGATGTGGGGGAGTGATCCATGCTTCTGTATAGCACTGGAACTGGAGGTACAAAGGCCCCCAGGTGGGAGTCCACCTGGAACACTCAGGTCACAGCGAAGGACCTTGTGAGTGTGACACAGTGAGGGAGGAGGAACCTGAGTGAGGAGACCGAGTCGTGTAAGGTCTGAGGCTTTGGGCTTCTCCTGGGAGGGAGTGGCACAGGAGGCTGTTGGAGGGTTTGGAACCGGGACAGTGGTGGGATTTGGATGGTGAGGATCTTCCCAGGTACCGTTCCAAGGGTTTTACTGTAGGAACGCACCTGGGCGGAAGGGAAAGACCAGTTAGGAGCCGTTGCAGGTGTGCTGGCGAGAGGTGATGGCATCCTGGGTTAGAGTTGTGCTGGAGGTAGAAGTGGTTGGATTCTGGATGGATTTGAAAGGAAAAACCTAAGGAAAGAATCTCTCCGTATTGTGGAGGGAAGACCGGGTGGGGTTTGGATGTGAGGGAGGAGCAGGTTTGACCTTATACCTGTTTGGAGGTGCTCCTGGGCGTCTGACTGGAGAGCCCCATAGGCTGTTGGGTCCATGACTCTGGGCAAGACAGACCATGAGGGAATCAGGACTTACAGGGGAGGTCATGGAATTATCTGACGTCAGAGAGTAAGTGTGGGTAATGAGAAGAAGCAGTCCAGGCCTGAGCCTCACATCACTTCAAGGACTGAGGGTCAGAGAGATGAGGGGGAACAGACCAAGGAGACTGACAACAGGGGCCAGTAAGGGAGGAGGAGAAGGAAAGCTGGGGTCCTGGAGACCAGGAGAAATGTGGAGAGGAGAGGCAGTGGCCAGCCATGCTGGATTCTGCTCATGAGTTAAGGGTGGGGCCCGCCAACTGCTCACTGGACTTAGTAACCTGACTTCCTTACCAGTCGTCCCTCTGTAGCCTAGAGAGCACGAGGGCTGCAGGTTAGGCAGGGTTCAGAGCCCCGTGTGGTGGGCCCAGTGCGATGGCCTAGTGGCTAAAGTCCTTGCCTTGAATGTGCCAGAATCCCCTATGGGCACCAGTTCTAATCCCGGCTGCTCCGCTTCCCATCCAGCTCCCTGCTTGTGGCCTGGAAAGCAGTCAAGGACAGCCTAA